TTCTCTCTCTCTCTCTCTCTCTCTCTCTCGCCCCCCTCCCCGACGTCACCCATTTTTATTTCGTCAGGTCAATTCTCTTTCATTCCGGACAATCACCCCCCTGTAATTCTATATTACACAACCATTAAGTTTTTGGGTTTTTTTGCAGCAGAAAAAATTCAGAATTAGAAAGTTGTTTTCTTGTCTATATTGACATTGTGATCTCTTATGAGTCATGAGAGTTTTAAAACGACACTGACGTTCGTTTTTTTTCCTCCGAGCTGTTTTTCTGCTACATGATCACACAAGAGTGCAGCTGGTGCAGACGTCCTTGCTTGAATTGTTCAATACGGCCGTCACTGGGAGTTCTGAATACGGCCGTAACAAAGCGTTCTTAGACTTGTATTTAGAGGATCAGCACTCAGCAGGGTTCTTGACCTTGTTTGTCTGAGGTGAACTTAACATCGATGGCCTGTGTCTCTTTTGAGTTGGAGTTTAATTAATATGTAGATGGTCTGATCTCTCTTGAAAGGACTTTACGACGTTCATGCTATCTCTTTAAAAGATAAATAAGTACATTAGCAAATAAACATATACACACACAAATAAACACTAATAAATAAATAAATAAATAAATAAATAAATAAATAAATAAATAAATAAATAAAAAACGTGTTTCTTTGGAAGATAATCACAAACCCAACTCCACAACTCAAACAACACCACCCCATCAGAATGCGGAATAGTACTATAGGTTTGGCAATGTACCTGTGGACATCGCCTGTGAACATAAAGAGGCAGCAATATTAAGTGACGAAGAACGTTATAGCATCGTGACTCATTTAGAGAACAGAAAGTTAATATTCCCATGGTGTTAAATCGTTTTAAAATCCGTTTCTAGTTTTTGGAGGTACTTTTGTTATTTGAACTGCAGTTTGTTTGAAATTTCAAAAGACTTTCCATTTTAACTATGTAGAGTTATAGCTATCTTTTCCAATATTAAATAGGTATATGAACAAATAATAATAATAATAATAATAACATACACGTAGTATGCTTAATTAACATCAACCACCCTATAAAAATCAGGATAGGGGAAAAGTCAAAAGAAAACAAAACACCAAATTGTCGATGCCTTCCTCTAAATGAAAAAGTTGGGAGTTTTTCGATTTCACCTTTCTTGTCGTATTTTGCTGGACGGAACTGATTCCCCATTGGTTGCATGAAAAATCACCAATGGTTGACCTACAGAAGTGGTATTTCTAGCATACAGTCTAAGAAACAAGCATTAACATGCAAAGCATCGGAGTTGGGCCAAAGTTCTTTAGCTTGATAGTAATAAAAACGGTCCTTTTGGCAGACTTATACGTTTTAGAAAATATTAATGTCATGATATTACATGTATTTTATAAACACAGGCCAATAGCTTTAAATATCTTACTAGCTGTACATTTATATCAGATGCAAAAAGTGACATAGAGATATAAAAAAGAGGATTGCAATATTTAAAGAAACTTTCAGCAAGCTGAAACGCGTCTTCTCAAATAGAAACTTAACAATAAACACATTTTAAAAAACAAGAACTCTGAAAGCGTACGCGTGGTCAGTCCATTTGAACGGATGCGAGAGCTAAACTCGAAACAAAGACACGGAGAGAAGACTGAGAGCCGCCGAGATATGTATGATGTTTACGGAGATAACGTATCAGAATCTAGGGAACAGAGAGGAAAACAAATAGGGAAGTGCTCCGTATGGCAGGCTGTGAAAGATCTATAACATTAAGAGCCATCAGAAAACGACAATTTTGAGGTTCTTTGAGTGGACAAGAGAAACTGTTGCTGTGTGGAAAGATAAAGGGAAAGAAGAGGAGACGAAGACAAAAGAACAGCATACACAGATGGCCTGAACAACTTTGTAATAATTAAGAACACAATAACAAAAGTCGAGCTGATCAGGAAAACAGACAACGAGAAAGAATTTTTGTTTGTTTGTTTATTTGTTTTGTTTTTTATGTTTGTTTGTTGTTGTTGTTTTTTTGTTTTTTTTGGGGGGGGGAGTAATCATGATCGGCAGTGCCTGCTCCAGACCTGACACCTAAAGAACATGACGAATATTATATTATAATTATCATTCTACACCTATACTTGTACACACAAAGTTATTGTTATTATTATTATTATCATTATTATTATTATTATTATCATTATCATTATTATTATTGTTACTGATAATGTTATTGTTATTATCATCATGATGATTATGATATCATCATCATCATCATCACTATCGTCATCGTCATCATTATCATCACCATCATTACCATCATCATCGGCATTATTAGAGAGCCGCGTTTACACTGTGGCGACGCATGCCCATAACAAGCCGACCGACTCGCCGTAACCCCACCCCCACCCACCCCACCCACCCCACCCACACCCCAACCGGTTGCACTGAGACTGCCAATTTGCTCCTCCAAAGACGGAGAGCCGGAGTCCGGGGGTGATCAAAGCTTCTCTCGTCATGCACGACACCATGCGGCTAATGAACGCGAGATCTCTCCCTATCTGGTACACCGCCTTAACGACAGGGGAATGTACTCTTCTCTCTCCCTCCATAGAGTTAGGGAGATGACAGAGAGCGCGTCATCAACTTTTAAGAATTTTTAAAACCCTATCCGTACCCCCTGGGGTCATTTTGTACCCCCAGGGTTGTATTCTTCACATTTTAGAATACTTCTAGTCCGAAGATCTCTTTGAAACTTTCAGTATTTCTCCAAAAAAAACCATTTTGACAGACTGTTATGCAAAGCGTACGGATCGGATTAACGAGTAAATTTCCTCTTTAGAAAGTGGTGGCATAAAGTTCCTCACGTCGTATGGATACGATAGTAAAACATACTTCCCCATCGACACAATTTAGATCATTGAGGAGACGGGCTTCCGACAGGGGCTGAGAGGGATACAGCATCCCAGAAGAAAAACAGAGATGCTCCATACAAATTTTCTCCCCACTCGGAAAAGAACTCGGGTCTCCTTCGTGCGACAGCGAAGACAAGTGTCTAACCGTTACACCACAGACGCCGGTTCCAGAAATCATTTACAACAAGCGTATTGAATATCTTGTAAATGAATAGGGAATATGCAGCTTATTATAACGTCCACCGTTGACGTATTTTGTTCTATAGTGCCGTGAATACTTCTCCAATGCTCACCCCAGTTGTTTTGTTTCATCATTGCGAATTGGAGGTGGCCCGTCTCCTGATTGGTTTCGTCCCTCATTTTCTAATATACCCCCCC